GGTGTGGGTGTGGGTGTGGGTGTGGGTGTGGGTGTGGGTGTGGGTGTGGGTGTGGTTGTGGGCGTAGATGAGGAAAAGATCAACACCCACACGCACTCGCACACCCTTTCTGACGAATCTCGTGAGAACCAGGTTTTTGAGGTGAAGACTAGGTCTGAGATCGGAACTGTTTTTGAGAAACAGATACAGCGTAAAAATCTCTATCGACTGGTCTTTTGTTTCATGTTAGAGGAAATCTCTTTGTTAGGAATTGAGAAATACTTGAAACTACTGAAGCTTATTTTCGCTTGGAACAAAATAATTTTAATGATGAACAATCTATATAGACAGATGGAGTCCTTTCCAACACTACATCATGTAGTTGGCCTCTCTTACTATCTATATCACCGTTTGAATCAGATCAGTATCTCTTCGTGTGACAGAAAAATATAAAGAACAAATGTGTAAAAAGAATGGAAGGAAACAAATGCTCTTAAACTTTTGTCACCGACTGTAGTCTTACGTGATCGTTATTCTCAAGTGCAATTGTATAAGATGAACTATCTACAGACATGGTATGTGTTCTATCTTCTCTTGAAGCTTTACTAAAAAAAATACATTCATGACCAAGGAGGAAAAAGCGGATCCTCGGATCCTTGGATCCTCTTGGATCCTTTGAGATCCTCTTGGATCCTTTGGGATCCCAAGAGGATCTCAAAGGATCCAAGAGGATCCAAGAGGATCCGAGGATCCGAGGATCCGCGTTTTCCCCCTTGTTCATGACTGTATAGAATAAAGAACCACGGCAACAACAGATAACGCTTTATGCTATTTCACTGGATGTTATTGAGAAAAATCGAAATAATGAAAAAGTTTCATCATCGTTCATGACAACCATATGCCATCGATTACACGAACAGTTTGGAATTTGGTATATGTTATTCGCAACTTTCATTTTCGCTTGTTGTTCGTTTGCTCTCAAAACAATACCAGCTGATATCTTTGATATTATGATTGTTCGATTTTCAATTCACTGTATTTTTTTGGTGTATTTACTACTTTCTATAAACATTATTATGTATTTGATACAAATGGACAACTGTTTGCGTTTATATTAAACATTTTAATATCAGTTGGTACTAATTTCACTTATTTAGCTGCATTGTATTTTATTCCATTATCGGATTTAAATACAATCAGATACACTTATATTGTTTGGGCAGCGATATTATCTGTTATATTTTTTAAGGAACGTTTCAAAATTGTTAATGGTATTTCATTATTCTTGACGATTCTTGGCCTTATACTCGCTACTAAGTCAATTTCTTTATTAAAGCAATAGGTCATATATTTGATCGGACATCATCATCCTCGTCAATATTAATTCCGACAACAAGAACAACTTCAACCGCAGCTATTGCTACTACTACGACTTCTTCATTTTATTATTATTTAGGTATTGGTTTGACTTTTTTATCAGCTTTGGCAAAAGAAGCACAACTAATTGCTCGAAAACAATTACTCATTACAAAACAACCACATTCTATTATGAATTTTCAGTATGCAAGTGTTGCTTTATTAGTTTCGTTGTTTTATAGTATTATTCGTCGATTTTGGCAACCGGAATCATATCCATCATCGGCGGTGCACACTCATTTTTTTTGGTATGCCAAATTATTAAAAAGTATAAGGAACTTATAAAAAAAACAGAACCTTGAATTTTGTTCATATATTTTGATTATCA